CTGCTGAACATTCATTATACATAAGGGACATTTCCACCTGAATGTCCAACAGGTGACATCTACACAATACTGAAATGTGGCTACAGAAGGTGGCTACATAATGGACATTTCCACCTGAATGTCTAAGAGGCAGGAAAGCAATAAAGAGAGACTCAGAAATGTGCACCAGGGACCCATGAGAGGCCTGCAGCTGGGACAAAATGCTGTGATGAAACAAGCCTTGGATCAGACTGTGGGCTTGGTACACACTTGCATGCTGAACAAAGGAACTTGTTAACGCTATTAAAAAAGTGGAACCAACCAGTGGTGAGCACTGTAGTTTTGTTGAAAGATCCCTGTATGCTTTGCCTACTTCTAGTGCCGTGATTTTCTCCGCCCACTCTTTTTATCAGTTGCCTCCAAAATAAAGTGAATATCTCAGGAGGAGGGTTCAAGACACAGCTCATTGGGCATGAAGAGAAATTGTTAGAAATCCTATATTTTAAAAATCTCTTTTATTTTCTATTTTTGTTTGTATTTTATAATGGTTAAGTATATTCATAATGTAATACATGTGTTTGGGCACTGAGTGATTTCTGACAACAATGAGCTCACTAGAGGAATACACACCTTTAATGAACTGTGATCAAGATGTGATTGGCTTAAAGACAGAGCTCTTGACAACCCAGCATATATTGGCAGGGCAACCACAAGCTTCCAAAAGGCGTGGACTCATAGGAGCTTCATCTGCTGCTCATTAGTCTGGAGCAGTGGCGAAGCCTGGGAAGCCACTCCCTTGGTGAGCAAGCAGAAGGTGGCAGCCCTTTCCCATCCACCTTCACAGGACACCCAATCCCTGTAGTAAGGGAAACCCTCAGGACTGTGCTAAAGGCTGGTTGGAGGACAAATCATTTCACTTTAAAACCTAGTCATGATTTGTTTTCTGAGTAAGTCACTGGAGGATTTTTTTTTTTTTTTTGACGGTGTCTGGCTCTGTCGCCAGGCTAGAGTGCAGTGGTGCAATCTCTGCTCACTGCAACCTCCGCCTCCCGGGTTCAAGCAATTCTCTTGCCTCAGCATCCCGAGTAGCTAGAACTACAGGCGCATGCCACCACGCCCAGTTAATTTTTGTATTTTTAGTAGAGATGGGGTTTCACCATGTTGGCAAGGATGGTCTCGATTTCTCGACCTCATGATCCGCCTGCCTCAGACTCCCAAAGTGCTGGGATTACAGGCGTAAGCCACAGCGCCTGGCCCACTGGAGGCTTTTAACTGGCACAGCAGAGCTGGTTTGGCCACCAGAACCAGATCATCACCTTTCCTTGAAGGTTGGCTGGAATGGCCATTGGCACCGTGCTATTTACTTCTTTGAGAATATTAACCCTATCATTTTTTTAATTGTGGGAAATATAATTGCTAATAAATACAACGATAATTAAATAATAATTAAATAATACAATATTTAATTTAGAGGACAGAGAAGCAAGCATATTGACAAGTGATAGGCATGAACAGGCTGACACCTCAAAGTCGTCATTATACTGAGCAGTCTGCACAGGGTAGGGTTTCTCAACCTGGAGAAGAGGGGAGTGTGGGATGCGACAGGGACAGTAGGAAATTTGGGCTGGGTTATAAGACAGAAATTCTGATATCAGAAATGGATATTTGATATTTGGAGTAGTGAGTTGAGAATAAGCTGACCTTCTCCATCTCTACTACACCCCCCTGCAACTCTAGCTCTCTTACCTAGGGCTTTATTTCCTTGTGTTGCACAATAGAGCTGCACAGGATAGGGAAATGGCAGCCTAGTTTTCATGTCCACAAAGAATGAGCTATTCATTGAGACATTCATCATTTGCTTAGAATTACTTTTGCATGGGGCGGTGGAAGCGCTAAACATTTAATAAAATATCCAGAAACACTGTGGTGTTAGCTAGGATTCTGTAGCAGATGTAAAACCAAAAACTTTATTTAAGAAGCCTTTGAATGATTTTTTTTAATTTAATTACTCAGGTTTCCCTGTAATTTATGAAGGCCTTTAGTGAATAGCCACAAAAATAATGAAAACTTCATATTCAAATAATAACTTAATATTACATTATTGGTTTCCTTTAGAAACATAATACAAGTGATTCTTTCCAACTTCATCTTCTGTTAACACCATCTCAAGAATAATTATATGTAAAGGAAAATATGCTCCTCATATTTTTATATTTTCCTCTAAATGAAAGGGGAAAATACTAGTACATACTATACAGTGTCTTAAATGTCTTACATTAATTTGCCGGTTCAGAAAATTGGTTGCATGAGCCAAAGCATGCATGAAACAGGTTTGCATTGAAAGCAATGCTTTTGCTTTTTAAAATTTTTTATTTTTAAATTAAATTAAATTAAATTTTAAATTCCAGGGAACATGTGCAGGATGTGCAGGTTTGTTACATAGGTAACCATGTGCCATGGTGGTTTGCTGCCCTTACCAACACATCACCTGGGTCCTCAGCCCGGCATGCATTAGCTAGGTTTCCTGATGCTATCCTTCCAACTGTCCCCCTCAGACAGGCCCCAGTGGGTGTTGTGCCCCTCCCTCTTTTATTGATTATAAAACACATAACACAGAGTGACATTGGGAGAATAAACTATAATTATCAGCATCATCATCTTGCTGTAATCAAATAGTATTATTGCACAAATTTTCCTTTGTGAGTAAAGATTTTATTAAAATAGAAAAATGAGTATTTATTATTATGTATTAAGAAATGCTCAAAATAAGATAAATTTGAGCAAATATCTATACTTCCACTTATTTCGGAAACATACCATCATGTTACTAAACTCACCATATGGCATTTTAGTTGTTTTTATTAAATCTTCAAAACTTTTCAGACACTAAGCATACATACTATTCACATCAATTGAAACTTCCAATTTTTTAAAACTTTCTAAATGTGTACATTTCTTTTCTGCTTTTTTGGAAAATGAACTTTTATAAATGTATATACTTTTAGTATACACAGGCTGAGAGATATAAACTGCTAGGCTCACGTTTCCTTTCCTAGGACACATGCATTGAAAAAACAGCAGCAGCCCCACAAAGCAGAAAGCTGCCCTTGGCCTCTAATAAATTAATTTATTCAATGCTTATAAAGTGCCTTCTGTGTGCCAGGCAATGTACTAGAAGCTAGAAATCCAGGACAAATAAGTCACAGTTACTACTAACCCTTAAGGAACTCATGCTCTAGTGAGAAAAACAGACATGTCTCCAACAATTTAAAGAGAATACAAGAGGCCAGAGCTTGGAAGCCCTTACCCAGTCTTGTGGGAGAAAGTTCAAAAGGAGATAATATCTACACTGGGCTTTGGAGCATGAGCAGGGGTTAGCCAGGTGAAAAAGGAGAGGTGGGCAGTACATTCCACGAAGGCAGGGCATGCGGATTGCTTTGGGTAGATTGTTTTGTTTTGTTTTGGCCATCTGAGAGAGGTTGGCCGAGGGGAGAAGGAAAAAAAGTAATCCCAAATTCCAATTAGGCTTCCTTCGTGGCCCAAAATCGACTGTCCCATGTTAGGTAAGGTCTTCCTCATATCTTCTGCCGCGACAAAGTAGGACTTGCATATTCCTGGGTATTTCCAGAGACCTTTATTCATACTTGGAGCTTAACACTCATCACAGCATGTCATGGTTGGTTATGCAGTGTCTATCCCTACAGTGGTTATAATACTGTTTGGTTGCAGCAAAAGAGACGCAACGTAACACTGATTTTTAAAAGTTAAATGTCTTTCCTCCTGTTCCCTTATTTAGAACCATCTAGCAAAATCCAGCAATGATGGGGTTGTCTCTTCTGCCGGGGGCCAGGTCCTTCTATTTTCTAACTCTGACTCTTCCTAGAGTGTTACCTCAGTCATCATGGACCAGAAGAGCTCAGGCCCCCGCAGCATCCCAGCCAGCAGGGAGGGGAAAGCATGATAGGTCCCTCCTCTAGGGCACCACCAAGAAGCTACATAGACCCCATCTCCATAGATCCCATTGACTAAAACTTAACCATATGGCCAAATCTAACAGCAAGAGGGACTAGAAAATGTCTTTTCCTGTGTAGCTGTGGGCCAGGTAAAAAGCCAGAGATCTCTTAGGATAGAATAAGCGTCTTAAACTTTTGGCAAACTTTTTCTGCAGAGGACTAGATAGTAAATATTTCAGGTCGTATACAGTCTCAGCCACATCGTCATCATTGTTATCGTCATTGTCTTCCTTAGCTTCTTCTCCCTTTTCTTACAATTCTTAAAAAATGTAAACTCTTAGCTTGAGGTCTGTACAAGATATGCCACAGGCCAGATTTGGCACGTGGGCCATAGTTTGCTGACCCCACTACTCTGTAAGAAGGGAAAATCATACCAGGAGAAAAGTGACCATCTCTGGCATAACGTTTGTAAGATCATAAGCCACTAAGAGGAAAATCCTTGTCTTCTCCGTTTTGCTAGTCTTGGCAAGTGCTTGACCCACACAGAGTTTGATGTTTATGAATGAATGAGTAGAAGGAAGGTAGGGGAGGTTAATTTCACAACCACAATTTGTTAAAATCTCATTTAGTCCCAATGGTAGCCTCTGTTTTGAGGGTTTTCTTTCCTTTTCCTTTTCCTTTTCCTTTTCTTTCTTTTCTTTTCTTTTTCTTTTTCTGTCTTTCTTTTCCCCCTCCCTTCCTCCCTCACTCCCTCTCTCTCTCTCTTTCTTCCTTCCTTTCTTTCTTTTTCTTTCTTCCCTCCCTCCCTCCCTTCCTTCCTTCCTTTTGTTTCCTTGAAACAGGATCTTGCTCTGTTAACTTATGCTGGGGTACAATGGTGGTGCAATCACAGCTCACTCGAGCCTTGCATTCCTGTGCTCAAGCAATCCTCCCACCTCAGCCTCCCAAGTGTCTGAGGCTACAGGCATGCACAATCACACTTGGCTGATTTTTGTATTTTTGTAGAGGCAGGGTCTCACCATGCTGTCAAGGCTGGTCTCAAACTCCTGGTATCAAGCAATCCTCCCGCCTCACCTTTCCAGAGTACTGAGATTACAGGCATAACCTACTATGCTCAGCCCCAATGAAAGTCTTTTAACATGGATTATCATGTAAATACTCCATTTCTTCCAGCTAAAGAATATTCTAACAGAGAGCTGACAGAGTGAGTCTAGTGAACTTTCCAGCACATGTGTGACCACCCTTCAACTAACATGGTCAGGCACCCCACTTTACCTCCTGAGCTCAATTGCAGTTAGATTCCAAATATTCCAGATGTTCCAGTGGACCCTTCTAATTGTAAGCATCGCACCTTGGCCTCACTGCAGGTGACACCCCTGGGTGTGTGGGAAGATTATGGGACCAAAGAACTTACAGCTTCTTCCTCTTGAGTAAACATTGTGGCAGGCAGGAGAACCTTGTTTTGGTTTTACTCTTTTAAATATCACATGCTTGGTGGGAATGTCAGCAGAAGTATCCAGGCTGAACAGACAGTTTTAAGTTCCCCTTTCCCCTCCTTCTTACTCAATATCCTGAGGACATAATAGAAATTTTCTTGTCTAAGTTCTGCTGGTTGGGGGAGGGAGGTGTGGCTCACTGAACCACTGCTCTGGACAAACCCCTGCCAGGCATCAGAAAGCACTGCAGTTCTTAAGTTCCACATGCAGAGCAGGTGCAACAGCCAAAAGTGAGTGGGGTCCCGGCGCTGGCCCAGGAACATCTACTAAAGCAGGCCATCCTCCCGCCTTGTTCTGCAGGAGTCAGGTAACAGCTATACTAAATGTGTAAATTCTTCTTTCAAATAAATGTATAAATTTTTATAGAAGGAAAAAAGCACCACTTCCAGATTCTGACAGCACAGGCTGTGCTAGTTGAATAACTGAAGGAAATGCATGTTCTGTTGGAAAACAGCAAAAGAAATGAACATGAGACACTAAAACTCAGCCTCATTGTAGCCAAGAGGATGATAAGCAGATAAAAATGTAGCGGGGAATGTGTCTTGTCGCTTGCTCTTTCGTAACTGGAAAAGGCCTCTCGTGTGTTCTTGTTGCAACCTCTGGTGCCACCAGTGTTAAATAATGTTTTGCAATGAAACCAGAAACAAGGTTCTATTGCCAGCAGAGCTGGGCACAGATGATTTATTTCATCCTGATTCCTGACAAACATGTGTCCATCCTTTTGATGAGAAAGAGTAACTTTCAATTGCCTCCAAACCTTAAGATCTGGCAAGGGGCGAGGATTCATGTGAGATTTCTATACACTAAAGAAAGGGACTATACCGCCGTCAATTATATATTCTCAGAAGGAATACTGGCAAACTGAATAAATGATGACAAACAGCTGCAGATCAGCCAAGGAGGCCTTTCAAAGCAACGAGTAACTCCAAATTTTCATCAGAGCCTTTGACCCTCTTGTATACATTGCTGATTCTTCTGAAAAATTCACAAGGCCTTTTCCCTTCCTTTTAACTAGATTTTCAGTGAAGCAATTAAAAGGAAATGGACCTCTGACTCTACCTTCTATTAGCTGTGTGACTTTGGGAGAGCCACTTAACCTCTCTGTGTCTCAGTTTTCTCATCTGAAAATGGGGATAATAATATAACTTATCTCATGGAGTTGTTGAGGGGATAAAACTATATACACTTTTTGAATACTAATATAAAATAATAGATTATTAATATTCACCATTTTCAATATTTTGGCATTAAATACAAATAATTCTGTGTGGAAAACATGGTTTTATCACCAGAAGAGCGAAGTTGTGGCTGTGCTTTTCTGCCCATGCTATGAAAATGCCAGAGGAGGTTTTAGGTAGAGCAAAATATTCCCACACATGGTGAGACACACTCACTTCAAATAGTCCAATGCCTTAAGAAATTAATCATAAATGATAGGTGAGGAGGAGGAGGATAAGGTTGCTCTTTCCAATAAAACCACATGTTTTATGATGTGCCATTAAAGGTGATCATGGATATCAAAGGAGTTATGGTGCATGTGAGGCACACCATGAAAAAGTTGGCCATCTGTTTCAAAAAGGAAAGGCTAAAAAGGATTTCATTTCCCTTGAGAAATTATTCTAAAGATTGGAATCTACACTGCCTGATTATCGTGTCCATCATTTGCTTACTACCATTGGGTTTCAAATTTCCCCCAGCTTCTGCTGGAGTCCAGAGGCTCAGAAGCTGTCGCAGCTGATTTCTGGGGCAATGCTGCATCTTGGAAGTTACGGCTGCTTCATAGAGCAATCACACTGACATCTAGTGGTCCAAAAAGTAAGTGCAGACGGTGGCTTTAAAGCTTTTACCAGCCTCGAAGTGCTTTAAAAATCACATTTTCCACCATTTATATANGAGAGAGATCAGGGATGTAGAAATGGTATTTCTTTTTTCTGAGGTGTTACTAGAGGCTGCCTCTAAGGGAACATTTCTAAGAACAAGAGTGAACCATGGCTCGCTGGCAGGTTTAGGCTGTGATTCCAGAGGTTGAGGTTAAGACATGCTCCAGAATCAAGATCCTGAGCTTGAAGGTGGCCTCTGCCATGCACCAGCTGGGCAAGCTCCTAAATGGTTCCATGACTCCGTTTCTTTATCTGTCAAATGCGTATAACAGCAACGTCTCCGTAGATCTGTTATGAAGTGATGACAGCATCATCACCTAACAAAGCACCTGGCACGGAAGGCAATCTGGGTTACCCTCTGTTCTTGTTGTGACTGTTTCTTAAGAGTAAGCTGCTGTAGAAGCTGGTACCCCACAGGTCAGGCAGCATAGCGCAGTGGAAAGCTCAGAGGATGGGCAAGGGAGAGACGAGATGTTAGCCCAGCTGTATGACCTTAGACCCCTTACCAGGTTTCTTTTCCGTAAAATGAAGGACCTTGGTTCGCTGATGTTTATTGTTTTTTTCTTTTTCTTTTTTAAATTTCTCAATTGTTGTGATTCTAAGCCTTTCACAGGCTTCCAACTGAAATTGTTCTATTTTTAAGGCCCATTGGTGTCTCCTTTCTTTTTACCAAAGCCCAGGGCCAAGCATGTCCCAGGTATTAATTATGTGGTTGCTGACTGATAAGAAGTGATTGCTAGAATGGTCTCTATTGGCCACTAGGAATAAACCAAGAATATCTTTGGGCAGGAATGAAAATCCAGTGGGAAGCTCTGGACATCAAGGAATATTTCCCTATCAGAAACTAGTCTGGGGTTTCTCTGATAAATTTGGAAAGCTCAGTGCTTATTTTCCTGCCTCTACTAACCAGCCTCTTTAAACAGACAAGAAACCAGGAAAGCCATTTAGCTCTATAAAGTCAATACATACTTCACTAGTCATGTGGCTGCAGCCTGTGCCATGTGAGTTGGCCAGAGCAGTAAATGACTTTGCTTCTAAGTGCAGGTAAAATGCCACCAAAGCTCACCTGCTGCCTGTGACTAATCCCAATTCAGTCTTTCCAAGCCAGGGATAATCCCAGCTGGGATGTCACCTCTGATACAGCAACAAATGGTGGTGCAGCAAAAACTAATCATGGAACAATTTTTCTTTCCTTCTTCCTAAACTCCATCCACATAGACCCTTGGACATTTGTAGAAATCCAGCACAAACACAAGGAGGGGAACAACACACACTGGGGCCTGTTGGGAGGCAGGCGGAGGGAGAGCATCATGATAAATAGCTAATGCATGCAGAGCTTAATACCTACGTGATGGTTTAAGAGGTGTGGCAAACCGCCATGGCACGCATTTACCTGTGTAACAAACCTGCACGTGTATCCCAGAGACAACTTAAAATGTAAAAACAAACAAACAAAAGAGTGAACAAATGAGGGAGCTGCAGGAAGAATTTTAGCTATATACATACCACTATTTTTATATTAGAGATTTCTAATATATGTGAATATAAATATACACAATATTAAAAATTGTATTACACACACGATAAAGGTAATTTGGGAGCTTTGTAAGGGTGTGTATTATTTTCCTGTGGCTTCTATAACAAAGTACCACAAACTAGGCAACTTACAGCAACAGAAATCTCTTCTCCTTCAGTTTTGGAGGCCAGAAGTCCAAACTCAAGGTGTCAGCAGAACCCTGCTCCCGTGAAGGCTCTAGGGGAGGATTCATTCCTGGCCTCTTCCAGCTTCGGATGGCTCCAGGGATTCCATGGCTTGTGGCTGCATCACTAAAACCTCTCTTTTGTGAAATGGCCCTTCCCTCTTCTGTTGCCTTCTCTTCTTCTGTATCTTGTAGGGACACTTGTCATTGGATGTAGTGTTACCTAGATAACCCAGAATGAGTCCATGGCATGATCCTTACTTACACCTACAAAGACCCTTTTTCCGGATAAAATCACATTCACAGGTTCTGATACATGGGCATGTCTTTTTGACATATATATGGGCAAAATTTATGGACAAGCAACCAACATCTGCACTCTAATCCTGTTCACTCATGCTAAATCAGGATACCACCTCCAAAAGGTGCCCCAGGCCTTGCCACTGAATTTCTGCCACTCTTCTGGTAGTAATTGATCAATAAAGATGTGAGGATCAGAGTAAGACAGATCCAGGATCCCACTGGTTTTTAATAATGTTTGCCTCTGAATACACCACAGGATGCCACATTCTCCTCCTTGCACCCCTGGCTGGCTGGGCTGGCGAGTCCCCCTAGAGATCCCTGAGAGGAGCACAGCAGGATGGGTTGGGCCACACAGCAAGCGATGCTTTAAAAAAAAGTCCCCCAGGGTCATCCTACCACACAATGTGCTTCTCGTCATTTCTCCAACGTCATCTCAAGGAAAACCATTCAAAATACTTTTATTTACCCTATCAGTCAAAAAAAAAAACCTAGACAGTGAGAATTGTGCTTATATTTCTCAAATGGATTTTTTATGTTTTATTCATATTAGATGTTTGACATTGATCCACTGTTACATTTAATTTAAATATATAATTTTTCAAATACTGTTTTTTAACATTCTTACTGAATTGTTTATTGTGGCAAAATATATATAATGTAAAATGTGCCATTACATTCATTATAAGGGTAAAATGTGGCATTACATACATTCACATTGTTGTGAAAACATTGCCACTATCGATTCCAGGAACTTTTTCATCTTCCCCAACTGTAACTCTATGTCCATTAAACTCTAATTGCGTATTCCCTCCTCCTCCCAGCCCCTGGCAACAGCATTCTATTTTCTGTGTTTATGAATTTGACTACTCTAGGTACCTCATATAAGTGAAATCACAATATTGTTTTTCGGTGTTTTTTATTTATTTTTTGTTTTTGTTTTTGACACAAGAGTCTTGCTCTGTTGTTCAGGCTGGAGTGAAGTGGCACGATCTCAGCTCACTGCAACCTTTGCCTCCCAGGTTCAGGAGATTCTCCTGCCTCAGCCTGCCAGGTAGCCTGGGATTACAGGCACGCATCACCACATGGGGCTAATTTTTGTATTTTTAGTAGAGACGGGGTTTCATCATGTTGGCCAGGCTGGTCTCGAACTCCTGATCTCAAGTGATCCACCGCCTCGATCTCCCAAAGTGCTGGGATTACAGGCAGAGGCCACGGCACCTGGCCAATACTTGTTGTTTCGTGACTGGCTTATTTCATTTAGTGTAATATCTTCAAGCTTTCTCCATGTTATAGCATATGTCAGAATTTCCTTCCTCTTTAAGACTGAATAACATTCCATTGTATTACAAACCTCATTTTGTTTATCCATCTATCCATCAACAGACACTTGGGTTGCTTTCACCTTTCGGTATTATAAATTATGC